TATATATTATTTACTTATTTCATTTCGGAAATATAAAATCGAGCAACGGTCGATCTGATATCCACAGCGAAGAAGAACAAACGAAATGTACTATGTCCTGAAGTCTTGCACATAGATCTTTGTTCTACGGATGAGTCGTAGTTATCATTTCATTGTTAATTATTTCTATGATTGCTATATTTCGAGTTCTTAGGTTCGAGTCGATTGCTATATTATTATGCTTATAAGTCGAATATAAAATTGAATGAAATTAAACACCAATTAGCACAAATATTGTAATAACTACTAATCTCCTGTCGTACTTGGATTACAGTCAACACAATTTATATATAATTTAACACTTAATTTATTATAACGTATTAATTAATTACGACAATATGGATTAGAACAATTTCTTATTTGCATGCAATAATATTTCAAAATGTTACAGGATTAAGTAGGAGAAACTTAGCATTTTAATAAAAAATACACAGTGTTTTTTTTTAATGGGACAGTATGGGGAAATCCGAAACCATAGAAGATACGAACAACCACTAAAGAAATACTAAGTCATTTTTTGTGAAAACAATTTTGGCATAGTAAATTTTTGATGAAGCGTGAGTTGCCCTTAAAAATGAACAAAATTTATCAAATTTTTTTAGGTCTGATCGACTAAGGTTTTATTTTTTTTAGTTTAAGGATCATTTCGTATGTGATGAAAAAATCGGGATAGCTGAAGTTGGTCAAAATTTATAAAATTGGCTAATTTTTTTGAATGCTGAGAAACTCAGTTTCAATATAAAAAAGATTTCATTGTACTGGTAGAAAATCGGAACAGCGGAAGTTGGTCAAATTTAATAAAATGTTATTCATTTAGGGTCTACATTAGGAGCCAGAGTCCTTAGATTTGTTAAGCCTTTTTTATCTGTTTGTTTTATTTTATTTTGTTTACATTTCTAATCAGTAAATTTCTTCTCTGTGCTATATACAAGGCTAAGGTGTGTTTTTGAAAAAAATTTTATTACTATTTAGTATAAAATTTATTTTCATTTAAATTGGACCTGCGGTCCCAATTTTTTCTTCCGATACAATGAAGTCATTCTAAAAAACCATTAGCATTAAAAAAATTGTCGATTTTATTCATTTTGTATGAAAAAATATTTTATGAAATTTGACCAACTCTGCTGACCCACTTTTTTTGTCCCTTACAATGAAATAATCCCTTCATGAAATTGAATCGGTCAGCACTAAATAAAATTGATCAATTTTGTTAATTTTTACGGACAACTCCCGCTTCACCAAAAAATTAACTATGCCAAAATTGTTTTCTGAAAAAAAAGACTTGGTGGTTAAAAAAAGTAAAATCATTTTGTCTTCCATTTTTCGTTGTTTATAACAAAAATTTACAAAATGTCACTTTGACATTCAAAAGAGTATAAATAGACCTGTCATTTCAACGACACAATTGTGTTAGTAGAAAGTTTATACCTTAACCATTCACGTAATTATTTCTTTTTTTGATAAACGATTTTTCTTATGAATCAATATCGTAAATGTGGATCTTCTTGTACATGACTATTCTTTCAAACACTTTGTCAGCACAGGCTATATTTTGGAAATACCAATACTGGATATTAGTGTTGCCATCGTTTGTATTCTACTTAACTTTTGTAATCGAGTTTTAAGTAAGTAATTATTTTTTTTAATTCCCCGACAAACGCCACCAATTATGTTGTCAATTACTTGCTTACTCGTGCCGCCTGCTGCCTCGTCAGTCGCCACTGGGCGCTTGTCGACGTCGAATCTGTGTCAAATTTTCTCCGCCTGTTCTTATTTTCTTCATATTAATTTACAGACCCCACACACCTCACCTCCTAAAATTTAGGCTTGTGTTGAAACACTTCGCCAACACAAGTATGGTACTCCATACAAATCTAGCAGCGTGTGCGTGCCCACCACCTCGTGCTTGGTCGTCCTTCTTTCATTATTATGCGAATGTGTGCGTCCGTACACGACGTGTGACGGTCGTGCACACATATCCAACCCGTCGTGCTACTTTATATGGAGTTACCATCGTGGTCTCGTCTTATTATATTATGGTTTAGTAAGTCGTAGGGAATAGTTTCTACGGTTCATAAATCACATATAGGTTGGTCGGTCTATACTCTCCAAGTCACATTATATTATGTTCGACTTACACCCATGTTTTAAAACAATCTACAGGTTCTTTATGAATATTTCGATAAGAGACAGTGCTTAAGTTAACTCTACCTACAATTGCTTTTTTTTAATTTATACAAAAAGTACTTATAGAATATTACTATCGCAACATTTTCCGATGCCTAAGGTCGTGAAAAAATGACTTAAGTACTTACCTGAAAATTTTCCGTTCGCTTAAATAAATAACAATGTTTGAAAAGAATTTTTCCTGAGTGTTGCGGATAATACGTATTTTGCGTAACGTTACGGAACACTCTCTGCATGATTTTGTTTAAATTTGAATTACATTAGATAGAAACAATCGAAATATGAAAATAATAAAATATAATTCAAAAACAATCCTAACAATAATAATAGAGCTCTGATCTCGATATTAAAACACGGCGCAATAAATCAATTTAACAAAATAAAGTACAAAAAAGCTCTGAAAACTTAAATAAACAAATTTTAGAAGTTAACATAATTTCCTTCATCACTCGGTCATAATATAAATTTTTTTTTGTTAGTGACCTAAATTTTTCAGTCGAGGGTGTGTAACCATTTAGATAGTTTACAAAATAACTTTAAATAAGTAATGAATTATAATCATTATTTAACTATTCCCTTTATAATATGGCAGTCAAATACATTGCATTAGGAATTTGAAATAAAGTCAGATTCACGTTACACCGTGTCGGGTTCGGGCCGTCATCGTGTCGTGTCGTTTCCATCGCGCGCCCGTCGTGTATTTTTTGTCATTCTCCATTTTTCTCTTGAGTGATAAGGTTGTGTTATAAATGTAATTTTCACAACTAGAGTTGGCAGCTATTGCAATAGCTCTTGATGACGACGTATTGGAAACACAAATTGAAACTAGAAAAAGAGGATGGTGTGTACATCCTACCTGGAGAAAACGAGAATCCGAAGGAGAATTTGCTACGTTCTACCAAGATTGAATAGATGATGAGACCATTTTGGCTTTCACTGTCCTCTACACTATAATCCAATGTTGAGTACTCTCCGGGTGTCCGGCGAATAAATTCATATTACGACATGTCCGATCGGGCCGGGTTGGAACCGGGACAAAATACTCGACGTCGTGCCCCGACCGTGTCACGGAGTCGGCCCGGTCTAATATGAAATTCATACAAAAGCATACCGTGATCATGCCACGATCGGCGCACGACCGGAGCACATGCCGGCCCCGTCACGGTGTAATATGCATCAGCCTTTACTCATCACGTGTCGTGCAGTAGACAATACACAAAAATAACATTAGAAAAAAACTACATTTAACATGGCTTAGAACGAATGTAGATTAAGAACTATACTGCACTGTTAAGCCGAAAGGGGTTATCTTTGTTATACGCCCTTTTAGTTTTTTTTACACCATTCAATAGCTATAATAATTTCGCATCTATGGTATAATATAAATAGCTCCATCTAACTTAAAACATCTAAAAAACCACTAAGAAGTATTTTTATATCTCAATTATTGAAACCTTTCTTTATAATCAAAATAGTGGTATCTCACAAAATAGGTATAATGCTACAATTTATCTATAATTTAGGTATATCAATAAATATTCTATGAGTCAAAATTACGTATAAATAATTTTTAACTTTAAAAAAAAATATTTTTGAATGTGTGAAAATACAATTCACAAAAAGTCGGTTTTCTCAAAACTTACTACGATTGAGATAACGCTTTTCGACTTATCAGGGCAGTAGGTATACCATAGACCACATAAATACTAGTCCGTGCAGTATACTAAAAGAAATTATTTATGTCTTACTACTATAGCCTTCAAATAGTATATAATCAGATTTAGACTTAGATATTATGATAGGAAACACGTTTCTATATACAAAAAAATTATTATGAAGATTCATTAATCAATTAATAGTTTTGTCGTCAACCACTTCTAGGAGTTAACGCTAATTTACTATCTAATCGTTATAAATAAAATATTCTCATAAAACACTTTTAGAGAACATCTACTAGAACACAATAAAACGAAGTACTTTTAGAAATAATTTAGTTTCTAAGTACATTAAATGCTTAGAGGTATTTCATTAATGTATGTACTTTGACATATTATACTTATTTCCACATTATCATATAATAACCTATTTCAAACATACTGCTTTTTAAGTACATTGTATGTATCCAATAGTAAATCTAGCAATTACTGTGTACCAATTTTACATGTCTAAAGTGGTTTCATATTAGAAATACAAATATCTTTACGGATCTTTAGTAGTTTCTTCATATATTATTAATTTATGAACTGGGGGTGACCGGCGATGTAGGTCATAAATCGTAAACTGTTTTTCGTCGGAAGAAACTATTTCATAAGTTTTGAGGGTGTCAAAAGTGATATTTCTAAGATTTGTGAGAATTTGTCAAACTTTTTAAAATTAGACCACTTTTCAGAGACAGACAGTGACACGTCTTATAATTATTGTAACTACAAAAGTGACGCGCGCGTGGCACGACAGTGCTTCGCTGCGCCACTGTAGCGCTTCTATAAGCGCCTAATTTGAAAGCGCCCTTAGAGTTTATGATTGGTTCATTCATTGCTTCGCCGGCGCAGAAAATTGGCATTGAAGTCACGTCTATGATTTTGAAAATTATAATCATTTTAAAGATCCGGAATAATCCCCCTGATAAACCTCTTTCTTAGTCGGTTTTTATGGCAAGTAAGTTTTTACCTTACAAATATAACTAACAAGTCTTTCAAGTTCCAATTTGCAATTCACAACGTACAATGATTTATAATTTAAAATTGTTTTTCACACTATTTCACAACGCCGTACGACACATTTCTTCTTCCTGAATTGGACAATGTCTACAATATCTATAATTATGCACTGGTTATAACATACTTAAGTTTTTTCCGTTAGAATATTTTGCAGAAGATCTTATGGATCTTATTGTGGTTAATCTCACTGAAGAGGTATGGTCTCCACGACGAAGAAGCGATGCGTGATGACCTCCAGATTCTCTGCAAAAATCAAAAGATAATCGTATGATGACCGTTTAGCTTAGTAATTAATTACGTATTCTAAGCGGTAACTTGAGGGGACATCTGCAGTTCCATAAGCAATTAAGAGAATTGTAACTTTTGTGATTGGGGTTTGAGTGTTTTGGAATATATACATACCTACATACATACTATCACGCCGGTCTCGTCCTGGTCGACAGAGACTATGAGGTATTGTACGTTCCTAATAACTAACCTAACCAATAAGTAGTCAGATATGGTTATCTTCACTCGCATTAGTCTTGTCATATATGCCGTTTTTACTTAGTAATCCTTCTTCCATTTCCTTTAAGCATTCATGCCTCCTCTCATATTCAGTGTAGAAAAATGGCGCCTCGCATTCTTCTTTTGATCATAATGGACGAATGAAACTATAATTTCCAAATTCAGGTCCAGGTATTCGAGGAAGTATTTCAGTTTTGTTTTTCATGATAATTTTTATGATTATTTTTCTAGTATGACCAAACTAAATTTAATCTTTTTAATTTAACCTACTTATTCGTCTTCCTAAGACTTCTACAGAATTTTACTTCATCAAAATTTTGAATATATAGATGACTGTTCTATAATTGTTCTTAAAATTATATTTGCGGTCCCTTGAAGTTTTGCCCAGGTAGAAATTTATTAGTAACTTCTCCGAAGTTGGTGGCTGTAATTGTCAAATATTTGACACTTATTACCTAAATTGAATTAGTTGGAATTGGCACGTGCAAATGATGAATGACAGTTGATATTAGAAGCCTGCATAACGAAATTTGTCCGCATAACATTTTGCTTGAACTCTTTATGGAAAAATATTTATGACAAAAAACGGATAAAAGATATAATGTAAATGTGCACTTTTTTAAATAAACTATATTTTTTTATGTTTAATTTATTTACTAATTGTTCCATCTCTATTAGTGGATCTACGTATAAATTATAAATGAACTGCATTCGAGGTAACACTATCATTATGTTTAAGCATACTACATTATTATTTGGTATTCAAAAACAACAATTGAGCCTCTTTTTTATTATTTAATTTTGTCTTTTCTTTTAAGTATTGATCACATTTATGACCAAAGTTAAATTCAAAGTCAAACAATCTTTATTTTATAGGTAAATAAATTACATTTGAAATCGTCATACTGATTAAACTCTAAGGCATCATCCGTAAGGCAGATTCGCCTGAGAAGAATGAGCAAGAAACTCTAGAGGTTTCTCTTTGTAAATATACATTCAAATGTATTCAAATACATTTATCATTACAATATTTAATTTAAACATCTTAGATCGAGAATACCTGAAAGAGCTAAACGGGTTACTACCATAGATTTTTGTCATCCAGTTACGCAGAAGTTGTATATTAACCTTTAGTATAAAGTTTTTCTTTCACAATAGTTTTATACCTTGGAACAGACAAATTTTGAAAATCAGTCGGAATGTTATTATAGAAGCATGTACATTGCCCCTTAAATTAATTTAAGACTTTATAAAGCTGACTGTCAAGAACACCTACTTTATTTTTATTCCTCGTATTAAGTCAGTATTTTTCATAAAAAATTAATATTTTTCTTAACATAAATATCAGTTTCACAAATGTACTGCGACGTTAGTGTAAGAATATAAATCTCTTTAAACTTATCTCTCATATACAGTATATAAGATATAAATAAAAACGATTATAAGAAATAATATATGTTAATAACTGTCGATTAAGCCAGATAGACCAGTATTAGTGTTTTCATATATTTTTACTTTCTGGTAGTTTGTTACTGAATATTCTGTTAACTTATAATTGGCTTGTGTATCAGAATTATGTTCTTAGCTAGTCTTAAGATACTTAAATATTAATATTATTAATTAATTAAATAATTAAATTAAATAATTAACATAATGTTATTGGTGTATCTTAAATAAACATCGATTACATAACCAGAAATAGAGACGAAATAAGGGCCATATATTCCTGGTAACACATTAGCGATACAGCTCTTATAAATATCAAGTCTCGTTTACACTGAAATATAGACAGGCCAACTACTGACCTGTGTGTATATCTCCGTATATTCCAAAAAATATTCTGTATTTATTGTAATAAAGATAATATATTATTAAATATGTAATTTTGCAATTGTCGACCATTATAGCAAAGCTCAAGTTACTGGTCAATTTGAAGTGAAACAGTTGACGACACCCGTCAATTGTTTCGAACTCGGGCTAGCCAATCGGAGCGCAGTTGTCACAGTAATTATATGGCAGAATAGTTTTGAAACAAATTAAATGACATTTCGTGTCTATTTCTGGTTATATATTCGATGTAAATAAATATAACACAGAATTTATGAATAATATTTATAGTTGTCTGGTAACAGTCATTTGTACCCTTTGTCGTTCTTATTAGATTTCATGGTTTTTGCTTGTTATCACTCGTAACCAGTAAATAAATAGTCAGATTTTAGTTAGATTTAAGTTAGATTAATGATGTCTGTTTTATTGTAGACCTTTTGTTCAAAATTATGTTCCGACAATGCGTACATTGTCGGAACATAGGACACAGGCGGAGACTGAAACGTGACTGAAAAAGTGATTTTCTATCTATGTGTGTTTGATGAATAAAGTCCTTTATAATTAAATTCAATTCAATTTAAATGTACTTCAAACACCGAAAAAAATCCATCAAAAAGTTTTTTCATTCGTGTCAAGGGGACGATATTTTATAATTCAAATCCTTACTCTGTCAGGTACAATCTTAGTTTTGAAAGCGTCAGCTCTAATCGTAACAAATCATTATATAATCGACTTCGTATTGGCATTGAATAAATTGATGATTTATCGTTAAATTCGTAACTTATTTTACGGAAGACCGTGTAATTGCTACCAATAGTATTAATAATTTCATCTACCAATAGTATTTTTACGTTGCTTAGTTAAAATAATGAAATGTCTGACTAAAAAATATTTATTTACATTTCATATATGTAAATATATGAAATGTAAAATAAGCTTTATTTGAAATATTCATTTTACAACATATTTAATATGCATTTTTGTATCAATCAACATTTACATAATACATAGCATGTATTCATACTGTACATTAAGAGTGGTTACACACGGCGACTTTAGCAGCGATGCAAACGCGCGTTCGTGAAACGAGGGATTGCATCGCTATACTTGCGATTGCTTCGATGCAAACGCGTGACTCCATGTATACAAACGCGCAATTGCATCGATACAATTGCGCAATTGCTTCGATGCAATCGCCTATAAATCCCAAGTATAGCGATGCAAGCTCGCGCTTGTATCGATGCAGTCGCGCGATTGCGTCGCATTTGCACTTTGAATCGCGCGCGTGTGTAAAGGTAGACGATTATGCATCGCTACTGCATCGCTATATGTGTAACCACTCTACATTTGATATAATAAATTTATCCTTGTAATTATTGAGTATGTAGCCAACCCAGGAACCCACATTTTTGAGAAATCAAAGACTAGCTAAAAGAATTCCCTTTATGGGATACATTGCTGTATAATTTAAATACACTCTAATAGAAGATAAATCAAACCAAATTGAATAGATTTGTGGGCACAGATTGACTTTGGGGTATATTTTAACCAGATTGAGGATCTCTATGAAAAGATCAGATTGAATATACCCAAATCAGATTAAAAATACGTACACAGGGAGGTATAAACGAATTGGAAGAAGCAATAAATGGGTACGTTGTATGTATGCGTAGATAGAACTTTTTAACTACATTCTTTTGAATCTTCTCGTGGGCGTCCTTTTAAAAGTAAGTTGGACTTGTTTGCTTTAGTCTTGCTTACATATTGTAAGCAGACTGTATTCTATACATACTATAGAAACCATTTATTACAACGCCACAATATAAAAAAGGCACAAAAAATACTAATATCCGCTCACGCGATACATGCAGCTGTAGATGCATACCACACCTAGAGGTGCCGGTGATGATTTTATACCGATTTATCGGATATCCAAGTTATAACAGGTAAAAGAACTAATATTAATTGCTACTTCGGTAACTACTCTAGCAAACCATAAAGTTTTTAATGCCTGGGTTTGTCATTAAAAAAAAATAAACAACTTCAAAAATACGTCACGACAATCGTGTGTGTTATTGTTTGGGCTGGTGATTTCGGTGTTTATTTATTGAAAACATAGCGTAAGTAGCGTTTTTTAAGTTTACCCTGAATATAAATGTTTATAAACTATACTTTAAGGAGTAATTTCATGGTAAACTTTAGAACCACTCAAACGGAATATTATCATATTTATCCAAGTAGGTACACCAAAAATTTCATTAGTGCTTTTTAAGTGCAGGATTTGCGGTGTATTACTGCATTTTATTTGAGATGTTTTTGTTGGTAGTACGGAGGGTATTTGTTTAGCAATGCAGAATAATAATTTTTATTTATAAAAACTTGTATTTAAACTGAATCCTTTTCTAATTTGCAAAACCAAATAGCCGCTATTTTGCGGTAGGAGGAGCGCATCATGTGAGCGGATATAAATTAAAACAGAAATAAAACAAAAAAAGCGTAACAACATATAAACAACGAGTTATATAATAGTATTCTGACATGTGTATGGCTGTGGCGTATGTAAAAGGATCCCTATCAGCTAAAGTCACAATCAAGACTAGGCTGTGACCCAGGCTTCAATGGGCCCTAGTCATGCATTATACTCAATATTTCAAGTATTTAGTATTCGTATGTCGTTCGACCAAATGTGATTCCGTCTCGAAGGACTAAAATATAATAATAAAACTATGTAGCGGACTGTATCAATGGGGCTGAGGTGCTAATGAAGAGCGAGCAAGATCAAAGGAAATGTACTTACAGTTTATTAATCCAAGAAGGTAACGGTACGAACGAACACTGAGAAAACGATAACAATAATAAAGAAAAATGCGGCAAAAACAAGTACATTTAAATTTGGAATTCGAATCTACAACTAAACTGTTTAAAAAAACAATTGCTGTAACTGTGTAACACGATTTGAAGTATTGCATGTTGTTTGCTTTTTCGGTATACCTATTGAGTATTTGCTATGTATTATAGGTCGCTATTTGTAAAATATATAAGACTACGATGGGAAAAGGAGGAAGCAACTGTGGGGCTGCATATCACTTTTTTGGATAATAATAATAAATAATACGATATTTCAATTGAATTAAATTGGACATTTCTTCTATTTATTGAACTTATCCGCTCACGCGATGCGCTCATCCTACCGCAAAATGGCGGCTATTTAGTTTCGCAAATTAGAAAAGGATTCAGTTTAAATACAAGTTTTTAAAAATAAAAATTATTATTCTGCATTGCTAAATAAATACCCTCCGTACCACAACAAAAACATCTCAAATAAAATGCAGTAATACACCGCAAATCCTGCACTTAAAAAGCACTAATGAAATTTTTGGTGTACTTGGCTAAATATGATAATATTCCGTTTGAGTGGTTCTAAAGTTTACCATGAAATTACTCCTTAAAGTATAGTTTATAAACATTAATATTCAGGGTAAACTTAAAAAACGCAACTTACGGTATGTTTTCAATAAATAAACACCGACATCACCAGCCCAAACAATAACACACACGATTGTCGTGACGTATTTTTGAAGTTGTTTATTTTTTTTAAATGACAGACCCAGGCATTAAAAACTTTATGGTTTGCTAGAGTAGTTACCGAAATAGCAATTAGTATTAGTTCTTTTACCTGTTATAACTTCGATACCCGATAAATCGGTATAAAATCATCACCGGCACCTCTAGGTGTGGTATGCTTCCAAAGACGCATGAATCGCGTGAGCGGATACTATTCGTTCCTGCTGGCTGGTCGAGCGTCCCAAAGCATAAGCTCATCCCGTAATCTAAACCCGACCGTAAACGGGGTACAGGTCTCGTACAAAATATGTACAAAAAGATTTTTAGCGACTGCTACGATTCGCCGCACATACCGTAATGGTAATGTTTTAAGGTTAATATTAAACTTATGGCGGTAAACAAATGTGTATTAAGGTCATAAACTTAAAAGTGCCTGTGTTTCCGAAGCGATACATAATGTATCTCAAGCATTACAGCGGTTACACGCATGCGACTTTAAGCAGCGATGCAAATGCGATACAAACGCGATACAAATGCGATGTAGACGCGATACAAACGCGATACACATTTTAAATTAATTAAATAATTTATTTATTTAATATATTTAATATTTTCACTTTTGAATTTATAATTAATAAAACAAAATAATGTGCATAAACCTATACAGACTTTTCGTACATAATTATTCAATATAACGACTGTATCGATGCAGTCGCGCGTTTGCGTAATCGCCTATAAATCGCAAGTGTATCAACGTAATCGCGCGTTTCCTGAACTCGCTTTTGCACCGCTAAAAATCGCCGTGTGTATCCGTGTCTTTGAAAAATTGCTACTAACTTTTTTATACTGGCGCGTGTTTATACGTTTATGAGTACGTGCGTATGTGCATGTCACTTGAGACTTTATGAACAATAATTCTATATTTTAAAGAATCGTTGTCCTCCGCAGCGCAGGAGAGAGGAAACGTGTGTGGTTGAAAAGTAATGTGTTATTTTCCCTAAACAAACATGTGATATTAAATTATTTTTATTTTAAAGTTTTACATAAGAGAGACAAATAAAGAGTTGGGACTGATGGAGAGAGCTAATATACCATAAATATGAAAAATCTGTTGACAGACGCTCCTGCACCGAGGCACCCAAACCCTATAGCGTTTACGGTATTACAGAAAATCCCAGTAGAAAAAGGTTTGGAGAGCCGTTATTTGCTAAAGCATACGTTTAAACGCTCCAAGAGATACGGAATCCACATAATTTTATGCTCAACTTAGTCCCACTGAAAAATAGAACAACTTATTAAGAATATTAATAGGTAGATGGATTGTGATAGTTGTAGACCATTAACATATAGTCATTATAGAAGATATATTTATTCATTAATTTATGGTGATTTAATATACGTTTTATATTAAAAAAATGAATTGAGAGTAACCGGCATCGATCTATACTAATTTAATAAGGCTTATCTTCTAAAGCGGCGCGGGAACATCTGTGTTCCACAAAGCAGCATTTTGACTAAACGAAATTACTATCTCCTCCGCTCCACTTTAGTATAAGTTATTTGTAAAATACAAACAATCTTGCTGGATCATATTATTCAAATCATAAGAAACAACTTTCGTTCCATGTCTTTTGATAATTCACTTTCGTACAAAAATAAAATATTGAATTGATCGCTATAAACGGTGATAACTCTGTGTGATAACAAAAGAAATCGCTAGCGTACCAGTGCAATGCAAAATGCAGTAGCGGATGATGGGGTTGTCTGGGAGGACGCCTGCACGTTTAAACTTTTAACTTACTATCTTACTGCCGAACAAAGATCTAAAAAATATCAGATAGTACAATAAAAACTTAAAAAGTTTATTTTTAGTAAATTTATGGAACAAAAGTTGTTTTTGTGATGTTAGTAACATAGGTAATATAGTCCTGTGAGGTAGTTACATTTTACAAATAACAATAATAATAATAACGCACACACTCATAGCCCCGCACTAGGGAAACCCTGTATCGCGGATGCCATGGACACACACATAGACAACCACAAATTACACCTAAACTTACGAGAGAAATAAAAATACAGGGCATACAAATATTCCTTCCGGCCAGGGAATCGAACCCGGAACCTCTGTGTGGCAGTCCAACGTGGTAACCGTTCGGCCACTGAGGCAATAAATAATCCTGTATAATGAGCTTTACACATTTCTTTTTTCTTTACACATAGCAGCAGCCTTCACCAGATCATCAGCTCACCTTGTGCGTGTTCTGCCCACGTTAGTTTTGGTAGCCAGAATTCTGACGGGGATTAACTTAAGCACCCCTTGCTCTGCCGTTACACCGTGACCGCTACCGTAGCTAGGAATAGCGGGGTCGCCGGGGACTAGGGCTCTTGACTTTATTTTCGCCATTGCTTGTGGGGTTTTGCCATAATCGTCATGCTTGGCAGGCGGATTGGCGATCGCAGTTTGAGTGCAGATGTACTTGAGGACGATGCTGCCCATCCTCATTGCTTGTTGTTGATTGTTGGAAGAGAAGGGGTGGTTCTATTTTAAGCCGGACACCACACGACAGATCCCCAAATATAAGTATAGCTTTTAACAAAAAAATCTATATTTTCGTACCGTAAATATTATTATTAGTAAACGTACATTATAAACGGTAAAAATGCCCCTTGTTTCTTGTAAACAACAAGAAATCGTACACAGTCAAGCAGAGCATAATGATCAAATTAAATATCATAACTGTTTTGTATTAAACCATCATAATCTCCAGTTTAACTAATTCCTGACAGCAACTTTGTTTACCCGAAATAATCCAGAAATTTTAAACTATGTACCGAAATTCCTCTTAATCCATTCAACCGATTCGCCTTGATTAAGTCAGAAACAAACATACTTCAAAACGTATTTGAGTGGGGTATTGTCAATTTATTTTACCCCGAAATTATTGCGCTGGTATTGACTAACTAAAGTTGGTAATATCTATACCCTCGTTATTAATAAAATATACTGGTATTTAAAATATGCTTGCCTATTACTACCAGGTATGATTATGTTATCGGCAATGTTTGTAATCGAGTATTCTATAAAATACCTAGATATTCCACTCAGCGCCTAGGAAATGTGTCTAGTAGTTAAAAAAAAAAATTAACTATTATGTACTTCACCTAAAGAAGCCGGTTTTGTATAATAGGTTTTCCATAGAATCCCTGAATTATACACATTACCGCTAACATGCACATGAATTGCCATTAAGCAATCCACTGACATACTGTTTGCGTATATACCTTACTGTTAACGTTGCATTGCCTGCTACGGACACGCCTTACAATCTCAAACTCGTATCATAAAACACAAAGTTATTGAAATGCAAAAAATGGATTGCATAAAACAAATTTTGCGGACTGATTTCACATCACATTTCCTTCATATTCACACACTGGCTTTTACCTATTCTTAAAGTAATGCATCTAAATTAACCCCTTGAATAAGAAATTTAAAATAAACAGAAAGTTTTGCCATCTCCTGAATTATCACTCTTTATAAGATACGAATTTGAGAAAGTAGGGCATCGTAATGCTATGAAACTGCAGGACATGTAAAATTTATTTGATTGAATATCATGATGTTTTATAATATCATGATATTCGTATATTTTTTGTAAAAGCACTACTACTTTGTCGTTATTATTGATACAAAATTCATTCCATCCGACTGGACTCAAACCAGAGTCTGTTGCCTCACCGTGGCTACCGCACTTACCAACTGAGCTGCAGGTAAGTGTATTAAGTTTAAACGGCTTTGCCGTAGCTTATGAAAGTTTCTTTACTCAACCAGAGCCAAAACCAATTTCAATGTGTTTGTTCAATCGTCGTGGATAATAACACTCCGTGTTTTGATTTTAATTTTGAAGCAAAGCAAGCACAGAAGCCTGATTTGACTGTATATAGTTCTACATACCTGTCACTGTGTCGTGTAAGTTTTTTTTTCGGCCACAAGTGGAACGCTCCGTAAATAACTGGGTTGACTAGACTGTTCGACATGCCAAAGAAGAAAATACCCGATAGCAACTCCTCGCTTTGCTGAAAACAGAAAAAAACAAATAAAGGGAAAATAGAAAAAAACTAATAAGCGTGCAATCTATTAAAAAGTCACTATATGGTTTCCAATGGTTTCTTTGCCTGTATATAAAGTTTGCGAGTGTCGTAACTGCTTTTCCATACTTCTGTAAAACTGTAATTTATATCCGTCTTTCATTTATTTTATTTCATAAAATCTTTTTTGATTTGACATGAAAAGTTTTTTTGCTTTAAAGCAATTTTTATAAATATTTTATTAATTACTTATCCTACAGCTTGCTGCTAATTTTAAAAGAAATTCAAATTTTTTTCATTTGATTTTTTATACGTTCGTGGTCGAGTTGCTTGCGCACCGGTTTTCATGGTATCGCCATCTCTGAGGTCCCGGGTACAATTCCCGGCCGGGTCAATGTACAGAAAAACTAACTTTTTTATAATGTCTTGGATCTGGGTGTTTATGGGTAACGTCGTTATTTTCGATTTGCATAACACGGTGGTTTATCTACTTACTTTGGGATCAGAGCACCGTATGTGATGTTGTCTAATTCAATTTCATATTTTCAACACTACCACCAGGTGGCGGAGTGGCTATTCGACCAATTGCGATGGCGGCTATAGAAGTATTATCAATTAGTTCCCGTAGATTAAATACTAAATAGGATTTTGATAATTTTTATCAAGGATTTTGTCAGAATGAATAATTTTGCGTTGGCTTGTAATTAACCTTGTGGAAATATAATTATTACTGTAAATATGTTTACAAATGCGCTGCATATTATTCGTAAAAATGCTATTTTATACGCAAACTTGAATCGCGCTATGTGACAGCGACGTGATACGTCCGGGATGAGTTGGAGATTTTCATACAAAATGGGTTTCGAGCAACTGTCGTGACGATATAATGTGACAGTAGCAGTGGCGCGGTGTGAAAATTGTCGTAAATAAAACCGGAGCAAAACAGAAAACACCTACCTCTAGAAAAAGTGGCGCCTTGGTGACACTTAAACACAAGTTGTTAGCACACAACTGGTTAACTTATTGTACATATAAAATTTAGCACGAAATATGGTATTTGATAATACGTTGAAAATTTTAGGCAAGCCGGCGAAAATCGAGTTATATGGACGCCTCGCCACTAGCCAACTGTATGTCTTATAGAGAACATTAAAGTGAATTTTTATAATTTACATATTTATGTAAGATCGGAAGTTAATGTGCTTATGACCACTTTTACATGCTCTTTTGGAGAATGTACTAACCAATTTCACTCCGCCGAAAAATACCTTTGACAATGTTTAAAACCACACATCGATTAGTCTGATCTGAAATAATGGAATTCCGTGTACTACGTGTAATGAGAATAGCTCAGAACACCTCGAACCAATTTAAACAAGGTAGTTTTCCTGAATTTGTACTATCGAGAACGAGATCTAACGTGAGAGCTTTAACGTATATACCTTATAACGTGCTTGTAATGTACCTTTTACTGATGATTTTTTAACGTATTTATAGAATAAATATACCGTAGTTGGCTGCTTTGCCAATAAATATTATGACAACAAACACAACCGGCAATGACTTGTTGAAAGTTTTAATTATCAACTTTCCCAATTACATTTTTTTAACTTTTCGTTCGTTGGTTACACAGATTTAATTGACTTTTGAAGTTCTTGGATAATCGAATTTACTATAGTTAAATCTGAACGAAACTTACGTACATTGAAATTGAATAATATTTAACTTTAGACAAAAGGGAATATTTCACGTAAAAAAAAATTTTTTTTCTTTTTGGGAGGCTCTCCTATCAGAGTTTAGGCAACGTCATTTCAATCCTTGAGGCTGCTGCCCTAGAGGGCGAGGTAGTAGTGCAGCCAAATCATTACCTCAAATTCTTTAACCAAGATATTTTTTATTTTACCTTTTTTTTAAATACAAAGTGACGGAACGAACAAGTCGTGCAGTGCCACTCAGAGCTTTAAATCGCAAAGATCAGACTCCCAGTGCGCCCTTCAGCGTGAGACATAAGTTAACAAGACTCAAGTATGCCTATAATTTACCATTACCCTTCAAAACTGGAACGCAGAAATGCTGACATTACTGCTTGAGGGCAGAAATAGATAAGATAGCAGTACTTCCTTGGGCGAACTCTTTGACAAGGAGATTTACAGCTACTAAAGTGCCTCTAAGAGTGCTTCTTTCTACTGGCACTTCATTTTGTGTTGTCTATGCCCTAAATGATAAACTGTAGTAATTTGTATTTATTATTTCTCCGGACGTAGGCGAAATACGACATCTTCCTGTGTGTTACTCGTTGTACGAACTAGCGCTAGAAATAAAAATCACTTGTTCTGCAGCATAAAATGAATTTACTAGAAAAAGTTGCGGTTTACAAATGACGCCGTGCGATACGGCTCGCGAGTAGCAGCGGACTGCCTCGCCGCGGTTGGCATAAAAAAAACAAGGTGGAACGCTAAAGAAAACAAACTAAATGTACCTTATTTTCTAAAATTAAAACTATATTATACTAAACAATGAGCGCGTCGCTAACAATCCCCACCCTAGTGCTGATTCAGCACTCATTAACTACAGATATAGGGGCTTAATGATGTTCACAAGCCATCTCCTTCATAGGTGTATTAAGTACTACTACATTTATATATAACCCGGCAATAACGCCATGATATTCCTAAAATAGAGGGTTATAAATTACAAATATCAATCATACATTTTGCTACTTACATTTTTATCAGGATTCCAAAAGGTAAATATGATCATCATAATATAATACGGTGTCCACCAAATTATAAATGCCGCAACAATGACAACGGACATTCTCAGCGATTTCATTTTAGCTCTATCAATCAATCTTCTCCGGTTCATATCGGGCGTCAGGTATTTCTCTTGCCTTCTCACTTCTGGTTTGAACACTTTTTCACTTTCTGTAAATAATAAAAGAAAGATTAAGAAAAATTATTGATATCGCTTAGTGACAATATCTTATAAGAGCGAGATATTTTGTTACAAAATACATGCTGAATATTTTTTACACACAGTGAGGTATAATATCTAAAATGCTGACTTTCTGTGTGTTTATGCAAAGAAGACAGTGTCCCGTACGCTAGTAACATTTTATTACTGTTTGATTATGCTAAGACCTAACCTTTGCCATTTCGGAACTTCTCTCACAGTCTACAAACAACGACACATTCGTCGAATAAGATGGAAAATGTTTCTTAACAAAAGACCCTTCTAAGTAATAGAAAAGAAAAGCCGACATGTTATAAAACTTTTTAAATGGGATTTATATTAAAGGTTACCAAATTCGTGAATAAACCCTTTGAAGCTCGTGACGTGATGGTGTGTATTATTTGCATACATCATACCTACAAAGACGCTTAAAATTGATCTAATTGCAATATCCATAATTAAAATTGCAAACTTATACGAATTATAGGTATATAAGGAATCCTACAGAGAATCCTATTACGAAGAAATAGGCTGTAGAGCGCACGGACAGTTGAAATACGAAAACTTTTCTCTAAAATGTTCGAAATTTAATCTAAACTTTACATTACTATCACGAAATATTTGAAAATTTTACGTATACTCTCCGCTTATCACAAAGAAATATTCGTGACAAAATTATTTGTCTATGTGTGTGTGTGTAATTTGTGGTTGTCTATGTGTGTGTCCATGGCACCCGCGACACAGGGTTTCCCTAGTGCGGGGCTGTGTTGAGTGTGTGCGTTATTATTATTATTATTATTATTTGTCTATGTCGTATTTAAAGTAAAGCTAATTGTAATCACATAATTTAGTACTCTGCAGTCAAATGTGTATCAACGTCTTTTCTTTTCATTGCATAAGTTGTGTAAAATTTGTTCAAAGAATGATACTTCAATTTTGAGCAAATCCGACATATGTTTTTGTGCTTGTACTATATTCAACAAATAAATACATAACTATGTATCATGACAAAATGTAAGCAGAAAGTATAATTACAGCTGATACCCACTTCATAGAAAATAGAAAGTGATATTTCATTAAAATCAAAATTTTCATATTAAGTTTATTAAACATCACGATGTTTTATTACCATAAATTTTATTATATTCAAATATTTTTTTGTGAAATTACTCCACTACTTTGGTATAATTATAATACAAAGTTTGAACACTAAGAAAAATTCCTTCGATCTGGCTGGATTCGAACCTGCGCTTTCAGCATACTGTGCCGCATACTCTTCCAACTGAGCTACGGAACAAACCAGCAGACCTTAAGATTTTTTATGTCGTTGTGCTTGTTGCTGATCTTTGTTTTTGGTTTTTAACGACTTTGTTTTTGCCGTAGCGCCATGTATGAGAGATCTTGAAATCAAAATTTTCAATGGAAATCCAATTAGATAAATAACCAAGGATGGATTTCGACCATGTGTCCGAATATAGGACGAGGCTTCAGTGGCTTCAGAACGGGCTCCTCACGTTGTAGCTTTATGGGGAATAAAGCTACAACGTGAGGAGCCCGTTCTCAGCTTTCTCTAGAACGTGCTCTATGACCCTCGCACTCCTTCATACCTTAAGGATCGTTTTTGCTTCCTCGGTACGGATCACAACCGTGAACTGAGATCTAAAATGGATAACCTGCTGAAATCTCCTTTCACCTGCTCAGAGTATTTTAAAGACTCCTTTACTCTTTAGGTTGCACTGTTATGGAAGGAACTCCCGGCTAAAATCCGACATTCTAAATCGCTTCCTATATTTAACACTGGATAGCGTAAGTATCTTCTGGCTCGGTCTTAGTCTGCAACTTAGTCTGTATATTTAATAAGAAGTAGAAGTACATATTTATATGTGTAAATTAATATACATGTAGGCATATAATATAACGTCCACTTATTATTTCATAATATGATAGTGTAAATTTTTAATTATGCATTTAAATTTTTATCACTAGCACACTACATCTCCCTCTCTATTCAGTTCTCCTCTGCCTCAAAGGTTGTCTTGAAAAGATAGCTCTCAGCGATAAGGCCGCCTTTGCTCATATTAATTTTAAGTTGTCTAATGTACTGTATTTGTTTTGTGTGTGAGCAATAAAGTGTATTATCTATATATCTATCAAGGATGTTATAAATCTATTACATCAGATATATTATATAATACATTTGTAGGATGCAATTGATCGCTTATTACTTAGAAGCGTGTAGCTTACCACCAGGCGCACTACTTCACCGCCCCGTCTCCCTTGATCTTATAAAAAAAACAAGCTGCTCCCTTACGAGATGAAATTTAAAAAATCTAATTAACACAATTTTCGGCAAGAAAGATTATGTTACTTTTTCAACCTGTCACTTGAAATAATCATTGTAACTTTTAGAGCTTTCATTCCGGGGACATGAGTCTCGAAAAATTCGAGAGTATACTTTCAAAGATGTTTTCGATCTCGGGAACATTTGAGACTTAAGTCTGCTAAAGCAATCATAAACGATAACAAACGATAGTAATAACATCAGTAAAATCAGATGCTCTCTATCTGGAATTATATTAAACTCCTTGCGTTTCTAAGTGCTTACTGTAAACATGAAAAAAAAAAGAAACTTTTATGAATATTTTTTTTATTTTATGATTGGAGTTCATAAAAAACATAATTAAAAGATCATTTTTGATTGTCTAAATGCCTAGTCTATTTATATAGAAATCTACTTTAGGAATAGTCTTAAAAGTCTCGTTTTCAAGATTCTCAATTTTTTTCCCGGAACGCGAAAATAAAAACCCTAGTATGTTTCATGTTTTTTTCCTTTGAATTAAAGACGTTTTCCGTATTTTTGCCATGACTTTACAGCCTTGACAGTAACGGATGGACTAAAATTTTCCATACAAATTTTGCACGCAGTAGCTAGCACCCGTTGATGTAGTAAACTCTATATTGAAGTGAATAGTTAGAAAGGCCATTAGCGTTTCCCATGTTAAAAAGTAAAGTCAATTCGTGATTGTATTACTTATTGTAGAATATTGTTGTTTATTTATCCAGGGAACTGAATAAGGGGATTTCTACTATGTGCAATGTAACATTTTGTTCAATATAAACATTATATGTAGATATAATTAAACCCTTTGTTGTTGGTGCATTATCGATTACTGGCAGATTAGAAGTTACTATATATGATATTTTAAAAATAGACACTGCCAGGGTGGTGTTAATTTTATCTAAATATACAATGTTATTTGTAATATACTTAAATGCCTCCGTGACCGAACGGTTACCATGCCGGACTGTCACGCAGAGGTCCCAGGTTCCATTCCCGGGCCGGATCAAATATTTGTATGGACTACATTTATTTCTCTCGTCAGTTTGGGTGTAATTTGTGGTTGTCTACATGTAGGACCATGGCACCCGCGACAC